GTGAAGGGCCTGAGCGGCGGGCAGAAGAGGAGAGTCAGCATATGCATCGAAGTGCTGAGAAGGCCCAAGTTGTTGTTCCTGGACGAGCCCACCAGCGGGCTGGATAGTGCGGCCTCTTACCACGTCATGAGCCGGATTCTGAAGCTGGCTCGAAACGACGGGATCACCGTCGTTGCTTCAGTTCATCAGCCTAGCAGTGAGGTTTTCGAGCTCTTTCGCAACCTATGCCTTCTCTCTTCTGGAAGGACCGTCTACTTTGGTCCTATTGCTTCAGCTGAACAGTTTTTCACTTCAAATGGTTTCCCCTGTCCAACTCTGAGAAACCCTTCTGATCATTATCTTCGAACCATCAACAAGGACTTCGATCAGGTAATTATATCACTCATATCATGTACTCCTGCATTGAAGTGGTGATTAGTTTCATTCTCAAATCTTGTGTGTTATGATGATATGTTACCAGGAAGACATTGAACAAGGGCGCGGTGGTTCAGTGACAACAGAGGAAGCCATTAACATTCTTGTTTCTTCATACAAATCATCGGCGATTCGACAGCAAACTGAACAACATGTTAATCGCTTATGCCAGCAGGTACCTTTGATCAAATTCAATAAGGTTTTTTTTTTTTATGTCTTTGATAAAGAGATTTCCAATTAGGGAAATGTTGAGGTGATCCTTTTTTTTGTTGGGGTTGCAGAAGAAAGGAAGAAGCTTGGGGAAGAAAGGAGGGCAGGCAAACTTCTTCACTCAATGCACTGTTCTTACCCGGAGATCCTTTGTGAACATGTATCGTGACCTTGGCTATTACTGGCTTCGTCTAGCAATCTATATTGCACTGTGTTTATGCGTTGGAACTATATTCTATGATGTTGGCCTTAGCTTTGGCTCAATTCAGGTATTTTACTTTTCTCCACTAAAAGAGCTCAGAGATCTATGAAATTGATGGAATGAAATTAATTTACTAATGCAAATTTTGGTGGCTCGAATTTTTAGGCTCGAGGTGCAATGCTCATGTTCGTCGCAGCATTCTTGACTTTCATGGCGATTGGTGGATTCCCTTCTTTCGTTGAGGATATGAAGGTAACTTGACTTGTTCATATGCCTCTGTAAATTTGGGGCAAACTCGATACAAGAGTTAACATCGATAAGGTTCAATTGAAAAATCGGTCATCAAACTTGGAGGTTATCAACAAATAGGTCACCAAAATTTTATTTAACCAATTTGTCTCTAAATTGTAGAATAATTAGGTTAAGACACTCTTGATCTATCTTTGTGATATTTTATTGTTCAAGGTTTCTAGTTTATACGAGTCAACTCACTCAACTTAGTAATAAAAGGGGTATATCTGTATATGTATTGTATCTAACTAACTGTTGAGTAAGAGAGGAAAAGATCACTGTGGGTTTAAGAATTTACGTAATATGGTTTTTTATTGGATCGAGATAGCGAGTTTGATAAAGTACATATGAGCTAAACGAGATTGCCAAATATTGCTCTAGAATCGGTAGTTACATGTGTTATATTTATTAGTGATTTGTCTTAGTTAGCACTAACACAAACCTAATTATTTAAAAGTTTAGTAACAAGTTCATTATTTATATTGATAAGTCTATAATTAGTGAATCCAAAGTTATTTTTCAACCTTTCAATGAGAAAACAACATTTTCTTCTGCTAGTCTCCAATTATATATTTGAAAAATAAACCACAACCTCCCTTTTTACTAAACATGAATGACTTTGTGCATCTATGATGATCAGATATTTGGGCGAGAGAGGCTAAATGGGCATTATGGAGTTGGAGCATTCGTGGTTGGGAACACATTATCCTCCATTCCATACCTCTTCCTAATATCACTAATCCCAGGAGCCATAGCTTACTATCTCGTGGGACTTCAGAAAAGCATCGAACACTTCACATTCTTTGCACTTTTGCTATTCGTCACAATGATGCTAGTGGAGAGCCTCATGATGATGGTGGCGAGCATCGTGCCTGATTTCTTGATGGGGATCATAACAGGAGCTGGAATTCAAGGTGTGATGATGTTGAATGGAGGTTTCTTCAGGCTACCCAATGACCTTCCTAATCCCTTTTGGAGGTACCCAATGTACTACATCGCATTCCACAAGTATGCGAATCAAGGATTCTACAAGAACGAGTTTGAAGGGTTAACATTCCCCAATCCTCAACAAGGAGCTAATTCTTCCATCTCAGGTGATGAAATTTTGAAGAGTGTTTGGCAAGTAGAGACGGGGTACTCTAAGTGGGTTGATATCGATATATTGTTTGGGATGGTGGTTGTTTATCGGCTCATGTTTTTTGGGATTGTGAAGCTTGTTGAGAAGGTTAAACCAATGTTGAAAAAAAGAGTCGGGTCATCCAAGCAAACTAGCCCTATTGTAGAGATATGACTTTATATTTAAAGTCAATGGCTATTTATTGCCTTTTTATGTGCCATTTGCATTTTCATCTTTATGTTGTATAACAATATCGACAATTACTCTCCTATAATTAAAAAATAATTTTTTTATGGGCATGAAGTTGCTTGGCTAGTCTTTTCTCCTCTAGTTCAACATATACATGTGAAGTTTGTTCAAGGGAGCATATCCATATATGTTGATCAATATAATGATTGTCAATACATTAATGCTCTCCAAACTCAATTGAACATATTACAAAATGAACAAAATTTATGAGTTGTCTATCCCATTGCTTTTCCAATTTAACTCCTTATTTTTATAACTAAGATACTTTTACTTTGTTAGAGTTTGAACATAATCAACATTCGCATATAATTATTAATATGAACGAACCAAAAAAAAAAACTTTTTCGTGCTAAAGGGAGAAGGGATGGGGAACAATAAGTAATGAGCTTAGTGTTAAGAACTATGATCTGGAGTCGAGAAAATCAACATGAAATTATAAGGATTTTTTTTTTGCCATAGAAGGCAATTTTGATTTAGAGGTAAGCCTAAATCCATCGCCAACATGCTGAGGTCAATATACTGAACTCAGTAGCAGAGGGCGAGTCGCGCGGCAAGGAAGTTGTAAATGTAGGAACTTATTTGTCATATTTGGCTTCACCCCATTCGCATAAGTGGGAAAAATTTCAAGATATACATCAGTATTAAGGTCCAAATGGTTTGTATTTCCAACGGCAGGTTGTATGTGAGTTTGATTGGGATCTCAATGATTCAGAGGTAAGAGTAAAATTGTTTCACATTGTTCCTCTTTTCTGTTACGCTTCGAATAAGCAATTTCAGAAGTAATCTAACCAAGGTTTAAACTATAGTCAGAAGCATCGAGCACATGCTACATGACATCATAATTATAGGTTGTCTTGAGGCTATATGTATAGCACAACATGACTGCTTGAGAATGGTTAATATATTTAGGCGGTTAACATATTAATTCGATTGAATATGGCCTATTATGTGAAGAATCAAGTGAAAGACGAGTTGTAAAAGTATGGAAAACATCCTGGGAGATCAGCAGCAATAGAATGTGGTCTCGTTGCCGCAAGAAAATTATAACAAGTGTGTTTGCTACAAGAAGATTTTCAGAGACTGTTGTGTTGGATCGTTGAGCGCGAGACGATTCTGCACGAGGTGTGGTTTACCGCTTCGATTTTGTCGCTAATCCAATTCCTGCAACAACCTTCGTCGTTCTTTGACAAGAGCAAGTAAAAGCCAAATGTTCTAGGGATTTGATCGATAGAAAGGGGAAAGTGCAAATTGTCGTTATAGTAAGTCAGGCCTTAGGCCCAAATAACTTAAATTGTGCCGCAATGGGTTAAGCCCAAAACCAAACTTACCCAACTAATAATTGAACAACTAAACTCACAAGTTAGGCTGCGTTTTGCGAATTGGCAGAGGGAGCTTCTTCTTCTTCCTCGAGCCTTGATGCCTCCTCTGTTTTCTTGCACTTTCTTAAGCCAACCAAAAATAGAGCAACACACACATTAAGGAACTCAAATCACACACAAGGACACACGATATTTTTACGTGGTATACGGCTAGCAAGGTGCAAAGCCGACTAATCCATGGCCAGAAGTTCACGATCCTGTGACTTCTAACGTTCCACTATTTTGATGTTTATATCTTGAGGTTCAGCCAACATAAATTTCTCTCAACACTCACTGTCGAGCTAATCCAGCTACAGTGTTTCCCCAACACTACCCACTTGAGCTAAATTTTCCCCGAATTCGTCAAGCCCTCTTTTCTTATCAAATTACACTAGCAAGATTCCTTATGCTGCTCTCTCGGTCAATTTGATCTCCAGAATAGTGGCTTTCCTTCATCCAGAGCCTAGCTCTCTTATACTGTCTTCTTTTCCATCCGCTGGAGCCTTTATTAATTCTGATTGCCACCATCTGTGCTCCTTTCCTTCTTTGTCTCCAGGAAAGCTTCTTTTCTTTCTTTGATTTCTTGGCAGCTCCTTTCCTTCTTTGGTTTTAGATCCTTTTGAGCCGCTCTTTCCTTGTTCGCTCTTTTTCCATAGAGCCGTTGACTGGCTTCATTCAACAAACTCCCCCTAAGCCTGTCAATCGCTCTTGTTGACTTTTCATGTACCCTGCATTCACTTAGCAAACGGTTGGTGCAGCCTGTTCTACTTACGTTCATGACAAGTACAAAGAACACACAAAGCACAAAGAACACAAATACTCATTTTATTCATTATTGATGAAATTAAAATTAGATCCATTATGGACCAACATTTTAACACGAACTAACCCTATTCAGACTCAAGGCAACCTGATCCTACAGCCTATGCTTTCAAGGCAAGTTTAGACAACTCTGTCTACATCTTAAAAGGGGTAATCAGGTGGTGAATCATAATCTGAGATAGCATCTCCGTTCTCAGAGTCTGAATCCGAGATGGGTTCCATGACAGGCTGATCATTGTGCTCAGCTTTCAGCAACTTCAAACGTTCCTGGACATTCAGCAAGTCCGCATGCACCCCTCTTTTTCCTGAGCTGCTACTGGAAGTATCCTCCTGATAATTATTGATTTCCTTCTCCACTGCCACTGCTGCCGCATCTACCAAGGCATTGACCAGCATGTAAAGGTTTAACATAAAATGGCCCACGTCTCCCCCCTGAGCCGGCGACAGGCTTACGGCGGCCCACATCCATATCCAGATGATTAAGGATGTGATTTGGGCAGATATCATCAAGTACATCGCAGACCGTAACCTTGTCTCGCAAGTCAATGCCCAGCCTATGAAGAAGGCGGGTGATAATAGGACCAAAGGGAAGTTTCCCATTGTAACTGCCATCACCAAAGCAGAGCATATGAGCAAAGACCAGGGAAGCATAGCTAATACGCTTGCCTGCTTTTGCATTAGAGATGATCCAAAGATCGGATGGGTGAAGGAACTCAGCACTAGAAAGGTCACGAGGAAGGAAACAACGGGTAATGAAGAAGTGGAAGACCTTAAGATCATTTGGTAGCCGTCCGGCTGAAAGCATGTTGGGGTAGTGACGACCAGTGTCACGAGTAAAGACATTCAGGGCCATGTGATAATCGAACCCAAGATCTTCAAACTCACCATTAAAACCAGTTTGATGTCCTGAGTGAGGAAGAGAAAGGAAACTAGCAAGGAGAGCAGGGGTGATCGTGATCTCGTGATTGAATACCTTAGTGGTAAACAAGGAGGGTTCAACACCACGCCCTCGTTTGATGTTGACATAGAACAACCTGACAGCTTCAGGACAATGGCTGAACCTTTGATGTTCAAACATGGACTCCCATCCCAGATTGCGTATGAGAAAAGGGAGGTCCATGTCATACTTGTTGAAGGTAGACGACTGAATGGAGAGAGATGGATAGATGGGTCTATCACGAAACCGATTGAGGTACGTAGCATAGGTAGCAGGGTTGCGGAATCCTTTGTTGTTGAACACAACAACATGATGAAGCTGAGGGTTGTTGGGAGCCATTTGTGCTTACAGAAAATTGTGGTGAGGTTCACAAACTCGAGTGAAGGTATGGGAGATAGTGATGAAAAGATGCAAAGGGAGGGAGCGTATTTTAAAGGACGGGAAGTTGAAAAGATGGTATGTAGTGAAGAAGAATAGGGAAAGGAAGGGTTATGTGATATCCCTGATATTTTGCTAATTAAGAGCGGGGATTTCACTGTGAGAAAATAAGCCAAGATCTCGTCGAATTGGCAAGAATTTGTCAGCTCCTAAAGGTTTGGTTAACATATCTGCCCATTGCATATTGGTGCTAGTGAATTCTAAATGAATCTTTCCTTCTTGCACCTAAACTCGAATGAAATGGAATCTTACCTCAATATGTTTTGTTCTAGAATGTTGTATAGGATTTTTTGACATACTGATAGCACTGGTGTTATCACAGAAGATGGGAAGAGACTCTAATTAAAATTTGTAGTCTAGAAGCTGATATTTAAGCCAGAGAGCTTGAGTACAACAAAGCCCTGCAACTATGTACTAAGCTTCGGCCGTAGACAGAGCTACTGAACCTTGTTTCTTGCTAGACCAGGAAATTAAAGATGTACCCACGAAGTGACATGCACCAGAAGTACTTTTTTGGTCAACTGTACATCCAGCGTAGTCTGAATCAGTATAGCTGAGAAGATCTAGACTAGAATCAGACGAGTACCACAGTCCTAGAGAAGCAGTGCCTGCTAAATACCTAAAAATTCTTTTGACTGCAGAGAGATGGATGTCCTTGGGACAACTCTGGAATCGTGCACACACACACACACACACACACACACACACACACACACACACACACACACACACACTAAACATAATGTCGGATCGACTTGCCGTGAGATACAACAAGGATCCAATCATTCCTCTGTAAAGTTTGTCATTTATTTTAGTACCAGATTCATCCTTGGTGAGTTTCACTGTTGACCCCATAGGGGTAGAAGCCGATTTAAGGTTTCCTAGATCAAAACGTTTTAACATGTTCAGAAGGTATTTAGTTTGACTAATGAAAATGCCGTCAGGAGTTTGCTTAATTTGAAGTCCAAGGAAATAACTTAACTCCCCCATTAAACTCATTTCAAAAGCATTTTTCGTGGTTGATTCAAAGGATTTACATAACTTTGGACATGTAGACCCAAATATTATGTCATCAACATAAACCTGAACAATAAGATAATGTGGACCAGAAGTTTTAATGAACAGGGTTTTGTCCACAGAACCTCTGCGAAAGCCTTCATTAATGAGAAAATTACTTAATTTTTCATACCAGGCTCTAGGAGCCTGTTTTAACCCATATAAAGCCTTATTAAGTTTATACACATGATCAGGGTACATAGGGTTTTCAAAACCAGGGGGTTGTTCGACGTAAACTTCTTCTTTTAAGTCACCATTCAAAAACGCACTCTTGACATCCATTTGATATCATTTAAATCCTTTAGCAGCAGCAAATGCACATAGAAGTCTAATAGCTTCAAGTCTAGCAACAGGAGCAAAGGTTTCGTCAAAGTCGATTCCTTCCTCCTAATCATAGGCTTTAAGCACAAATCTGGATTTATTTCGAGTTATAATACAAACTTCATCCAATTTGTTTCTATAGACCCATTTTGTACCAAGCACATTTCTATTTACAGGTCTCGGCACTAAATCCCAAACTCGAACTCTTTCAAAAATGACCCAATTTATCCTACATGGATTCTATCAATATTTCATCTTCTAAGGCTTCTTCTATAGTTTTAGGTTCGAGTGTAGAAACAAATGCAGTATGTACTAAAGCAGATTTATATCTAGTAATCATACCTTGTGTAGGATCACCAATGATTAGTGAAGGTGGATGTCGTCGCTGTATATGCAAAGGAGCTTGTGACTCCAACATTTCTTATTCACCTTTAGCTGCACCTTCTTCTGATCTTTCGTTTGAGCCAGAACCAAGTTCCTGACTTTCATTTTTCTTCTTAGTTAATCCGAAGTCATCATCCTCGTCCACCGAATCTGCACACTTATTGGGAGACTCATCAAATACCACATGAATGGACTCCTCTATTTTGTGAATCCTTTTTTTAAAAATTCTATATGCTTTGCTATGAACTGAATATCCAAGGAATATGGCTTCATCAGACTTTGCATCAAATTTCCCTAGACTATCTTTAGTATTTAGCAGGAAACACTTGCATCCAAACGAATGAAAATAGCTTAGATTTGGCTTCCTACCCTTCCACAGCTCATAAGGTGTTTTGTTTAGCTTTGACCTGATTAGAGCCCTATTTATAATGTAGCACGCAGTATTAATAGCTTCCCCCCAGGAGTATTTTGGTAACCCGAAGTCATTTAACATAGTTCTAGCTATATCAATTAACGTTCTGTTTTTTCTTTCCACTACTCCATTCTGTTGTGGAGTCCTGGGGGCAACGAAGTTGTGTGATATTTCTGACTCATCACATAAGAGGTTAAACTCTTCTGAGATGAATTCTCCGCCATGATCACTTCTAATACTGATCACACTCGACTGTTTTTCTTTCTCAACTCTTTTAACAAAGACTTCAAAATTCTGAAATGCTTCATCTTTATTAGTAAGAAAGAATACCCATGTAAATCTGGAGAAGTCATCAACTAAAACAAATGCGTAGTATTTTCCACCTAGACTCCTTACATTGCTTGGTCCAAACATATCCAAGTGCAACAGTTCTAAAGGTTTAGTCGTGGAAATCACTTGCTTGCTTTTAAAAGAAGATCTAGTTTGCTTTCCTTTGGCACAGGCTTCGTAGAAAAACTCCTTCTTGCTAAGTATTTTAGGGATTCCAGAAACTAGATCTAGGTTCACAAGTTTTGACAAAGTCCATACACTAATGTGTCCTAACCTTCTATGCCATTCAACCTCATCATTTTTATCAACGGACACTAGACATGTTTCATTGAAGGCATTCTTATCATTTAAGTTAATGCAGTACAGTTTGCTTACCCTTTTTCCAGTAAACAAAATTTTCCATTTGATAAGTTTTCTACTATGCATCTGCCAGGTTCAAAAATTACTCGATTTGTGTTACCACACATTTGTCCTATAGAAATAAGATTATGTTTTAAACCTTCGACTAACATGACATTACTTATGGAGGGATTTGATCCAACCTGTCCCTTACCCAGAATATTAGTATTGAAGTTATCACCAAAATAAACTTACCTCTTTTGTTTTTTACCAAGTTGGTGAATAGCTTTTCATTTCCAGTCATGTGGTGTGAGCATCCACTGTCCAAAATCCACTCGATGTCTTCCATGCTCACTTGGAGACAGACCTAGACACACACAAACATTTATCGTGTTTTAGGCATCCAAACCAGTTTGAATGCCTCATGTTTTGACCCAAAGTTTTTATTCTTAGTGTAGTTTATTTTAGGGTTACACGATTTAATGGTTCTGTCCTCTTTAGCAATTCTTTTTCTGCAATTAGCTATGAAATGACCCTCCTTATGACAGTAAAAACAACTTGTTCTAGATGCTGATTTGTAATTGTTTTTGTTGCTATTTATTTGAACATCTCGAGCTTTCTCAAGTTGATTTTTAACTTGTGTAAGTTCTTGTTTTTAACTATCATTTTCTTCCTTAATTATGTTCGCTTGAGATTCTATAGTGACCTTTTCTTCACTTAACTTTTCATAACTTATACTCAGTTCCTTGAAATTTGTTTTGAGCTTTATATGTTTTTCCTTAACATTTTTGAACTCAATTTATATTTCCCTAATAGTATCTATCATTTGTTCATCTTCATTATTGGAATAATAGTCATAACATTTTACCTGTGAGGCGCTTGTATCATCATTGCTTTCTCCAACCGCCATATAAGCTTCATGTCTGCTGCTTGTTTCTCCATTGTCTTCTTCATCTTCACTGCAAATCCACGTCGCAACATAAGCTCTTTCTCTTCTGATTATGGTACATTCAGCCTTGATGTGTCCATTTTTACCACATTTGAAGCATCCAGATTGGGTTACTGGTTTCTCGATTGATTCCTTCCTGAATTTTGTTCCTGGTCGAGTTGGCCTGTTTGAATCTCTTTCTTCACCCTCTCTTGTCTTGTTGTTGATAGTCCCTTTCTTCCTTTCTTTCGCATTTTGAGTAACAGGGCAACATGTTTACTGAGCATAGCTAAATTCTTCATCTTCCATTTCCTCAAGATTCTCGAATTCTTCTTCTTGCAACAGAGCTTTGAAAGCTATGCTCTTCTTTTCTCTTCTGGGTTCCTCCATCTCTTCTCTTTTTCAGTTTGTCTTCGTGAGTAACCAGGGATCCCATTAGCTCATCTAGACTCAGCCTTGTCAAGTCTTTGGATTCCTCAATCGCGGTAACCTTGGGAGTCCATTGCTTGGGCAATGCCCACAGGACCTTGCGAACCAAGTCATCACTTGCGTATTCAACCTCCAAGTTTCTCAGACTGCTAACTATGGTGTTGAAACGATCATTCATTTCTTTGATTGACTCTTATGGCTTCATTACGAACGAATCGAATTCCTGCTTGAGTCTGTTTATCCTGGAAATTTTCACATGCGAGGTTCCTTCATGAGCAACTTGAAGCTTATCCCATATCTCCTTGGCCGTCTTACATCCAGTGACTCAATGATACTCCTACGGCCCTAGAGCGGAGTACATTAGGTTGGTGGCCTTAGAATTTAGTTGAAAATTCTTCTTGTCCTGCTCTGTCCATTTTCCTCTCGCTTCCTTCACTTCAAGGGGTCCGTCAAGCACTATATTCCACAGATCTGGATCTGTGGACCCTATGAACAATTCCATCCTATTCCTCCAATACCCATAATGTACACCTTCGAATCTGGGTGGACGAGTCTATGAAAATCCATCCGCCATGAAGACGCCATTCCCGTTCATCGAGCTCGAACTCATTCTCACCGAGGTGGTTACACCTGTGTTTGCCGGTGACCGTGCTCTGATACCACGTGTTGGATCGTTGAGCGTGAGACGATTCTGCACGAGGT